AGTCAGAGTTATTTGACAGTGATGTGATAATACAATAGCACCAATGAAATTTGTTAAATAAAAACTAAGGGAGCTTTTAGAACCAATATTTAAATACATATTGTGCAAAACAAAAAACACTAAACTCACACTGGGGATCAATTTAGAAGATTAAAAATGTGAAAATCAAATATACCTTTGCATCAATATCCTACTGAATGTTCTGCTGAACTCAGCAACAACCATAGAATCTAAAGACAAAGAATCACAAATATTCTGAGATTCTTTTAATAGTGTCTGAAGATTTTTCCTGGAAAATGGCTTATATTTCCACAGGTACAACAGTGAAGAAATAAACTTTCAATCTGACATGAAATATAAAAGAACAATTTTACAAATATATTCATAAAATTTAACTGCTCATAACACTATACATGGCAAGTGTGACCACCCCCTTAACTTCTAGACTATTTAATACAGAGAAGTAATATGTCATCTCAACTAAATAATGAACTTTTCCTTTCATCAAGATTGTTAAGAAACAAGTAGAATTGAAAAAATATTTGCTTTTCCCGATCTTTTAGGGACTCTTCTTGAGGATGAAAACTTGACATGATGTAAGTTTTATGTAAAAAAGGAAACATTGAGCCTTCTTCTGTTTTACGCTTCAATATGCTTACATTCTTAAAAAGGAGTCAGAAGCTGCTGCACTGGCCTTTGGGTGATAAAACAGAGCTGAGCTGTATATCCAACACCTAAGGAAGAACTTCACACCCTCAGCCAAGGAAAGCTAAACTACGGGGATAAGAACAACAGTGAGTGGATACAACTGGATCTTGCTTAAAATAAAATTTGGTGGTTTTGTCTCATCAGAAATTCCACCATTATGAGGCGGGACTGCATGAGGGTAACTGATTTTCAGCCAGCACTTGACAGTGGTTGATCATGTACCCTTTCACACAAATCCAAAGATTAGAATGGCTCTGAAAAAGTAACTGATCAAGAATCAGAGAACAATTCTCTGTTGCAGGCAACAACTCTGTGATTTACCTTACACTAAATTAGAAAGTGGAAACATGCCCCTTAAAAGTGCCCAAATAACAATACCGAGCTCCCAAATAACAGGGGTTTGAATTCTATGTAAGCAAAAAAAAAAAAAAAAAAAGAAACATTGAAGCTTTATGAAGCATTCTCAACTTTCCTAATACAGTATATGAAATAACTTAAAATAGTTTCCTTATTGATACTGGAAATAAATTTCTATTACAATCATGTGAATGCCAGTACCTGGCATATTTCCACATCCAGATTCATTAGTCTCCTTAATGGAGTCCATCATTTTCCCAATGGCTTTCTCCTTTCTTTAAACCCTAACCCTGAAATTCTATAACCAGTTAAATCACATGGCTTCCCTGAGGCACAAAGGTACCAAACTCTATAATTAACTATTGAGGAATGATAAATATGCTTTCTATTTATATTAAAAGGTTTTAATTATTTTGGGCCACGGCTAGAAACCCAGAAAGCTTAATACTTACTCTGCAGTGTGAACTGTAGCCCTTTTTTTGCAAAAAGTGGAACCAAATACGGGAGATGTTAAGAGTTGCAGCATGCATGAACCGGCAGCACCGATTATTAACAATAAAAAAATTCTGGACTAGAAAAATATTCAGAGTTGTGTCCTATTCACTCTGAATCTTTTTTTCCTTTTTTTTTTTGTAGTAAACTGATATAAACAACTGAAAAAAATAATATCTATGGGAATATATCACTGGGACTTTCCTTCTGGAAATATATTCACAAAAGGCATTTTGGTCAGGCCGAGGTCAGGAGAAGTGCTGGGTAATTTCCTATGGATGCACCTGGGGGCAGGGGGATCACCCATGAATGGGATCGTGGCAGGTAAGACAGGCAAAAATGAAGTGACCTCCGAGAACTTGGGCCCTTTCTGAACTATATGTATTACTGGAGAGTTGGTGGGTGAGAGTTCTCTATTCTCATAAAAGAAACTGCTCTCCTCTCTAGAGGGAATCTCATTAGCCTAAATCAGGGATCTTCAGGGACTCTTCCAAGGCCTCCTTTCTGCAGACCTGCCAACTCGCTCCTCTCAGAGGTTCTTTACGCCAGTGAGGTGAAGGGGCCTCACTTGGAAGTCAAAGGAACAGAGGTGGAGTTGAGAGAGGGGGTTCACTGGTACCCCACAAACTTGGGATTTACAACTCAAAATCCAACCGTCATTTGGCTAACTTCTCTCAGGAACTTTTTAGGTTGGAAGATAACTCTATTTCAGGGCATGTGTCACATGCAGAAATGCTAGACATATATTGCCAACCCTTGAACAGCACAGATGAGGGGAGTTGAACCCCCACATAATCAAAAAGCCAAGTATAACTTTTTTTTTAAATGTTCAAGTTGGGGAGATGAGCTGCTCATGTGGTGCTGATTAACATCATCTGTGTTTGGTGGATACTCTCACACTTGAGCAATAGGAAGTGGTGATGGAATGACTACTGGAGGGTGGTAAGCACTACAGTTATACACTGTGCGATTCAGTAATGCATTTTGACATTTGATTGCATTTCTCTTGACTTGAAATTGTACCAAGTACAACCTGGTTTGCGTACATAATTTTGATAAATTTAAGGTTTTTCTTTTTTTTTTATAACAAATTTGTATATATTTAAGATAGCAAACAAATAGATCATCATCTACATGTATTTTGTGCACTCATGTCTTACCTAACTTTCTTCTTGGACTATTTCTAGGCTACACAATTTTTGAGTTTTTTTTTAAAAAAACTGTTGCCAATGTGTAAAATATGTCCTAATATATTTATGGGAAATATCCATGGATAAGTGGACCTGCACAGTTCAAATCTGTTGTTTAGAGGTCAACTAAACAATGTGTCTTACATGGAAAATTCTACCATCCCATCATTTATAGAAAACACTCTTTGACAGATAAAATCCAGCCCTTTTGGATATAAGATCAATTACCACACATGATGCTTTTAAGATATCAAACCACTTTTTCAAACCACCTTCTGGCCATATAGGACGCAAAGGGCCCATGTGCCTCCTTTTCCATTTTGTGGAACTCAATCAGGCTGAAAAAGACTCTTTAGTAAAAAAGTTAATCATTGGAGACTGGCTAAATCAAATGTCATTTGACAAATTATTCTGGACAATTTCACTTTTGTCCTTCAGTTTTCTGCTTTATAAGAAGAGTATGAGATCAATAAGAGTACTAATGCTGGGTTTTCACACCAGCATTAGCATTTCAAAATAAAATGGCTCATCTTAAAAAAAAATCTCCACTGCAAAAAAAAGCTGTTTTAAAATTGACAGACTGAACCTGTTAAGTATTAAGTCCAATTAAGCAGCAGCAATCAAGAATAAAGCATTTTATAACTTAAATGACAATCAAAATGGGTTAGAACAATTGAAAATAAGGCAAACTTTTGCTAGTAAGCAAAACATGGAAAAGCCAATTTAGAATATATAATAAACCATATATTCTTACAAAAGCTAAAATGATGTAGCAGAAATCTGTAACTGTCAATATAAGAGAATGTTAGTTAAAGTAAATACTTGCTCCATGTGATAAGTATCCATTCTGTCTTGGCCAGCTTTCTCAGTTTAGGATCTTTCCATTGTAGGGACCATGATACTCCTGATACCCAGCAGAGAGAATGAGCATCCAAGAATTATTATTCAAAATGAAATGGAACTAACAGAGAGGGATGGTGGCGCTCATATGAAATTCTGATTTAATTATTCCTCTGTAAACACTCATTAGCTCTTTTGAAATCAGGAATTTTAAATTATCTCTGCAGATGTACCACTTGGTGTTGTGTATATCTAATGATCACATTTAAATTTAGTTTGATTTGCAAACATTTTCAAAACTTACAGGGCTCTGTAAGCTGTAAGAGAAGGTGACAGATGGTGGAGAGGGAATGAAGAAAAATGACTGTGAAATGTTGCTTTTAGGCTCAAAGAATTTTGGCTTTCTTACGGGATACATACATACATATACATATACATACACACATATGTATATATAAAGTCACTGAAATATATAACTTTATATATATAAAAGATGTGTACACACATATATGTGTATATGTGTGTGTGTGTATATATAGATACATATATAGTCAATGACAACAAGTAGTTTCAAAAAAGTAAAATCTTACTTTTACTCAGTAATTCAGTAGGCCCAAAAAAAAAAAAAAAGAAAAAGGAAAAAACTTCATAGTATGATACCTAGGCCATGTTTACTGCTATGATAAACACCCTAAGTTAATACATTTTAAAGATTTGTTACATTCTAATCAACCAAACAGTTCTAGCCATGCAAGATGAGTATCAGGGACAACCCATATTAGACAGAAATAAGAAAAGGCCGACTAAAAAGTTATGGAAAACTCTTGAAAACATCCAAATATTTGGTAATGGTATGTATAAACTAATTAAATCACCAAAGAAGAGAAAACAAGAAAACATCTTAATAGTCTCTCTCCACAAAAGTAAGAAAAATAAATCAGAAAGAGCCCTAGATGGAAAAATAACCCTCCAAATCTGCCTACGGTCTCCTCCTGTCTCTAGTACCATTTCAGAGGGCTGCCCCCTTCAGTCTTTGGTCAGATCTCAGCCTCTGTCAAGTGATCTCCAGAGCCTGCTGGCCTTTCAGTTAACTCCCAGCCTGCTGCCTCGGGGAAGACTGCACAACCGAGTTCACGTTCCAGTACACTTCATCTGCATGGTGGGAAATAAGAAGTCTTGTCCATGTCTGACAGAGGAAAATACCTGCCGAAAGATTCCAGGTGAAATCAAAGCATGGCGCCTGGAATCCAATGACACAAAGAGTGTGATTTAATCAGAAGTCAACGTCCAGCCGAAGCAATGAATGAATGCTCGAATGCTCGGCACCCTATCACCCTCCCCTCCCCCCGCCCCAGCCACAACACTCCTGCAGGCTTTCCTCAGGGCTTCCCCCTTGGCTCCCAGCCACAGGCCCACCCCACCCCTTAACAAACAGGATTATAAAAAGGTAAAATCTAGAGTTAGTGGCAAAATTTTCACAGTAAATTGTTAATAAAGTGGTAGACGACTGTCAAGGGCATCAGTCAACTGGACCTTGGAAGATGAGTTTGATGCAGTTCTGCTCCCCCACCAGCTGCGTGGCACAGAAAGGGCAGGCAGCGTGGAACGCATGAGTCCCATGGGGCAGGGGGATCTGAGACCAATATTTTGCAGACTTCTCTGAGCACACGTGTCCACAAGGGGTGAAGGCGTGAGTTGGCGGTCCTGCATCGACATAAAAGCCTGCCTCGCAGCCGAGCCAGAGAGGCACATAGGGCCCCACAGTCCGGCACATGGGACACTCCCTCTCGTTGGCCTCTGTGTCGCTGCGGTGGCCCCAGTTGTGATAGCCGTGCACGTGGCCACAGCTGAGGTACGCCCAGGGCTGCTTTTCCTCCACCACCTCTTTGCGGTTGATGCTGGGAAAGGCCAGAGTGTTGAGCCCCACCGGGCACTGGGGCCGTGCCGCGTTGATCTCCTGCCGCAGTGCCTCGATGTGTTTCTGAGTGGGCGCATGGAAAAGGCCATCTGCTGTTCGCCAGAGGAGAGTGGCCCCACACAGGTCGATGAGGGAGCCGTCCTGCAGAACGTTGGTTTCACTCTCCACCTACAACAAGGACAGACATGCCCTTTAAAAGCAAAATTGTCCCAACATTTGTTCCTCTTTGATGTCAGCGTGTGGAAGCACTCATTCTACCTTCACCTCCCCTGAGCCCAAAACAAAACAAAACAAAACAGGGCTGGGGGGAGTGGCCTGGTCCCCCTCAGCCTCAGTTTCCTCTTTGGAACTGAGGATGGGTCATGCGCATGCCATCTGTTCAAAGCTGCAAGCACAAGATATGGAGTTTTACACAGCCCACGAATGCAGTGGTGATCATTCCACTGAGCACAATCTGCTCGGACCTTTACCTTCTCACTGGAGGTAAGTAACTCAATTACTCCTTGATTTGTTAGGAAGTAGATGATGTCCCACTAGTCTGACCAGGGTACACTCAGGTTCGTCTGGACCAGCCTACCCCATCAAGCCCAGTAGTAAGTGTAGTACTGTACTGAAGATTCCAGAGGACTCTTTGCCTCCTCTGTCCAATATATCATGCAGCAGGAGCCTGGATTCCTAAGGCATGTAGCACAAGCGTTCACTAGGAGCCTGCATTTGTTTTGAGGCGGGGGTGGATGCTCCCAAGTGTCCTCCGAAGAAGGTTTAAGGACCCTCTAACCAACTGGGCTGTTGTTTCAACACAAGGGCCCAGGGATGCGATGTTGCTTGGGTCCTGTGATACCAAGAAATCCAGGCCTCCCTGCTGGTACCAGGGGCCTCCAGGGCTATGTCTGTTGACACTCAAAAAATCATGTGATGCCAAGGTCCGAATCCAGGCCAAGCTCATGCTAGGCATGCGCCTTGGTTGCAGTTGTGTCTCTCAGCCCCTAGCCCAAGTTCCTAAAAGGATGGTTGTACTTGGCTCTGTAGGTGCTGTCCAAGCCCAAGAATGGCCGACAGACAGCAACAGTCAGACAAGGGCAGCCAGCCAGACTCTGATGCTATCTCCCCTGTGCCATGGGTGTCCTGAGCCTCAGGACACACACACACACACACACACACACACACACACACACACACACACACACACACGTGCATGCACACACACACACACAATACACGCTCTTCTTTGTACAGAAGAGATCTGCTCTCGGGGGTGGGGGGAGGCCGATGCAGCAGAGGCATAAGCAGAGAGCAGGGCTATACAGGCCAGGCTGCTCATAGAGCTCCACATGCCTCTGCTTCTTTGAGGGTTTGGGAAGCCAGCACACACCACATTCTTAATAGAGTGTCTGGGGTGAATGAATACAAAAGGGCAGACTTAAGAACAAAAACTATTGGAGTCACTCTGCAGTGCCAGGGCAGGCGTATCTGTGCAGTGCCGGGGGCTGAACTCAGTATCCTGCACATCCTAGGTGGCGCTCTGCCATTTGAGCCATCTCCTTGGCCTCCAGAAATGGCTTTTATTTATTTTTTTACAGATTTTTCTTAACGAGAAATTTGAAGGTGCTGCTGGAGGGTAGGTGGGAGGGTTTGATGACATAGCAGAGAGGAGGAAAGGTCATGGTCATGCAGCATGTCCACTGTAAAGGCCAAGCCCCTGGACAGCTCATGTGGCTGTGGGGCAGCAGGACATGGGCTGGGAACAGACCTGGGATGGACAGGTCAGCAGGTATGCGGTGCCCCCAGGGAGTTGTTAGCAGTTGTGAAAGAATGGCTTTTCCTTTCCTGAAGGTCACCTCTAGAAGTGTAGAGGGTGGGCCTGATGGGTACAAACCAGTGGTGGAGACCTTGGGGGTCCTTCCAGATGGAGAAGTTGGGCACAGTGGACATAGACTATCAGGGCTCTAGCAGCGCTCATGGGGATATGGGGCAGTGCACAATGAGACAGTCCCAAGCTTCTAACCAAGGAAGCAAGACTCAGACGTCTGGTTTCATGGTCCATGTAAAGTAGGGCTCTTGCAGGCCAGGGGCAGAGGAAGCTGAGGAGATATGGGGGAGAGGCTTGGGCACACGGGGTGTGCGGTCTATGCAGAGCATGACAGTGGCAATGCCCAGAGGCAGCCAGAGAGGTCTATGGGGTACCATCCATCCCACAGAACCCTTGGGAGTGGATGGGGCTGCCAGGCGAGGCCATGGGAGGTCAGAGCCAGGGTGCAACCAGCTTGCGAGAGACAGAGGGAAAGAAATGCTGTCATTGTGTGCCTCAAGGGATCATGCACTCTCCACTCGCTGACCGAAGATGCAGCCCACACTTAACAAGCATGAAAGGTCACCCGTGCTGTGACCACACAAGCTGCCCACGCTGAGCTGCACTGACCTGGCAGTCTGGGAATGCATCATTTGGGGCTTCTCCACAGGAAGGCCTGTGTGCCAAGGAACTCTGCCTAGAATCCGCCACCACCACAGCACATGCTGCCCCCTGGCTACCCCTGGCCTGGTCCAGCGGAACCCTCATCCTTTAGGTCTCACTGGGATGTTACTTTTCCCTGGGTCCGTGGATAAAGCAAGCAGCCTCTCCCAAGCAAGAATGCGGTTAGGCACTTTAAGTTTAAGTCAACAGAGAGATAAAGCTTTAATACCATACAGAAAGAGACAAAGATCCCTTTCATTTTCAAGCCTGCAGCTATTCCCTCTTACTGCATTGCCAGGCTGAATACCCCCTGCCCCCAGCCCCGCTCTCCCCGTTCAGGGTTGCACTCAGGGGCTCTCACCTCAGCACATCCCTGTGCTCAGATACAATAAGAGAAAGGGCCGGAAGGTGGCCAGCACATAGAGTGTGGACACCACAATATAATGTCTCACTATAAATTCCACCCGTCATGCACTGGACTCACACACTGAGAACAGGTCTCCCTCCAAAAAGCCATGCGCCTCTATCTTCCAGGACTTTCTCTAGGACTGTCTCATCACACAGCATGTTCATGATTTTATGGTCTCAGCAGTTACCCACAATTCAAGGATAGAGATGCTTTCTGCTGGGTCCCTAATGCTGGGGACAGCCACAGATGGCCATGGGGCCAGGGCTGCATGAATCCTCACACTGCTCCTGCTCGGTGGGTGCTTGTGGGGCCACAATCAGGCACATGTAGAGAGTGAAGAGCTGCAGAGCTGCTCTGGGTTGGAATCAGGACTCTGAGCCGTGTTCCAACTGTGGGCCACTGCCACAAAGCGGCTGTGTGAGCAGGAGCCTGTTCTCCCTTTGGAGAACTAAAAACTGCTTCTTGTGTGCTCGCTTAGAACAAAATTGTTTTCTTTCAGAACAGCACGCAGGAGGCAGCAAAGTCCAGACACTGCTCAAATTTTATCTTTTAAATTTTATCCAAATAATGAAAGGAGAAGGAGGAGGAAGAAGAAGGGAGGAAGAGGGTGAAGAAGAGAGGAGGAGGAGGAGGAGGAAGTGGATGGAAAATGGGAGGTAATGATGATGATAATGATGATGATGATGAGGAGGAGGAGGAAGAGGTGGAGGAGGAGGAGGAGGAGGAGGAGGAGGAGGAGGAGGAGGAGGAGGAGGAGGAGGAACAGGAGGAGAAGAAGGAAGCACAAGGAGCCAGCAGGGTCATGAAATGAGCCTTGGGAGAACATACTGGCCTCCATGAAAGAGACCTTTGGTTTACTGTGCAGTGGTTTCCAACTGCAGGTGTGAAGAGCAGTGCAGGTATGCAGGTGTACAAGGTTGAAAATTATTGCTGGAGAGAACTCAATCCCCTTCCCCCAACAAAAGTTATAAGCAGGTGATGTAACCTTTTCAAGTCCTGGTTTCCTCATTTGCTACTTGGAACAATCACAGCATTAACTCACAGGAGTTTTGAGGGGTGCCTGAGAATTAAACGGAAGTAATCAATGGAATTTGTTTGTAACAGCGTAACATTTCCTCTTAATAATTTCACCTAAAGTTAGGTAAATGCACCAAATCAAATTCTGGGAGGTTTTGGGTCCCCACACTTGACAATGATCAGGGGCTAATCCTGACTCTGTGCTTGGACACTGCTGCCAGTAATTCTTGGAGGACCATACAGAGTCTGGGATCCAAATAGGATCAGCTGCATACAAGGAATGTAACCCCTCTACTGTTTCTCTGGTCCCAAATGAAATCAACATAATTACATTTTGCACAGTCACTATTATTATCTAATAAAATGCCTCACATACAGCCTGATCAAATGGTTGAGTGTCGAGAGTTATGTGATGAATGTTACCACACATTATCAGAAACAAACTGGATTAGACGCTGCAATTCAAAGTCCCTTCCCCCATCTGCTCAGGAAGTAAATTGGTAAAGAGCTGTTTACCAGACACTTAATTATGCTGACCAAATGTGCCAAGAGTCCCTCACTGTGTCTGAAGAGAAGAAATCCTGGTGACTTTGTTGAGTTTTGACTTATGTAGATGCCCTGTGGGATAGTTACAGAAAATTTCCTCCCACCACTACTCCATCCAGGACAGGAGGCAGCCACGCTGATGCAGCACCAACAGTCTGCATTCCCAATAGACCACTCTCCTCTCTGGGTTTCTGTATTCAATTGTGAATGAAGAGAACTGCTGGACAGCATCCCCCAAACCTACGCTTAGACACAATCTGTGCCAATACTACCACCTGCTACCACCAACACACCCAGGAGCTGTGTGGTACGTGGAAACAGAAGCTCACAGAAATCGGGAGGCCTTCATCCCTGACAGTGTCTTCTAGGGTCCCAGGAAACACACAGGGGTTCCTTCCTTCCCACATCTCTCTGGCAGCCCCAGGGTCAGCTCATTCGCCAAGTCAGCTGTCTCGCAAATAGTAGGTCTAGCCTTGCTCAGATCCAAGGGTGCGGCAGGGACCACCCCTCACCATGGGTCCATATTAACATCACCCATAAATACCTGTGGAGTGAACTCTGGCACACACAGCTGGGCAAGCTGGGTTCCAAGAGTGGGCCTAGCAGGCAAGCCACCTCCCTGTGACAAGTCCTCCTGGGCAAGTGCACCCTCAGTCGGTGGTGGATACCACCCCAGGCGGATATGAAGCCAGAGATGAGCAGTGGTTGCTCTGTCCAGAGGGAACAGATGAGCTACAGGACATGGAGACTCAATCACAGAGGTCAGAGTTTCAAGTCCATCAGTTGCCACCATGGAGTAAGAGACATGAGGTCCATGAGGCTCTAGTTAACCTCTCTGGGTCACACAATCCTCCTCCATGACATGAGGCTGCTGGGCAGATTAAACAAGCTGAGGTGTTGACAACACCCAGCCTGCACCCTGCCACCATTTTCTGGCTGGTAAACTGTCTGGCCACCTTGGGTCAGTCTGATGTCAATTTATTTGATTATCAGAAACCAAAGAAAAGTTCTTTGAAAAAAATTTTTCTATCACATTCTTTTTCCTATTTACAATGAAAAAAGTCCAAAGCTGATAGAATTTGCTGGGCCTTTATTAGAAAATGCTTTTCATACTGATGCTTCTATTGTGAAACACAGTAGCTGTACTGCTAGCCAGAATAATGTTGCAGAAGAGAAATAGAAGTTCTTTTGGTGGCAGATACCACAATGGGCTGAAGTGCCTGCTCTGTGTGGGGAGGCCCTGCAAGCTCTCCTGAGTACTGTTGGGTGTGGCCCTCCAGCAAGCCAATACCTCCCCCTCCCCCACTACACTCACACACACACACACACACACACACACACACACACACACACACACACACACCAAGCCAACAAACCAAAACTCTCTGAAAACAAAAATCCAGTACAGTGAACAGCAAACTATTAGTAAGACAATCTCCCATTTTCTTCCTCCACTTGGAAATAATCTGGTTACTCTCAATCTAGTTCATATCCTCTGTTCCCTAAGTGTTTCAATAGGGATTCTGAAGAAAACATTTGTTTTTTTTTGTTCTAGTTTTTAATCTAACAAAAGTACTAGAGCAGAAAGTTTACTGAGAACCTTTGGGCACTGGGTCATATTTCTCTGGCAAAGTCAACAACCCAAAGTTTCCCATTTAGTTTAACATTTTCCATGGAAGAAAGGGAGAACAAGTAGGGCGTTTGCCTTGCACGTGACCGACCCAGGTTTGATTCCCAGCATCCCATATGGGACCCCCAAGTACCGCCAGGAATGATTCCTGAGTACAGAGCCAGGAGTAACACCTGAGCATTGGCTGGGTGTGACCCAGAAAGCAAAAAAAAAAAAAAAAAAAAAAAGGAACAACTGCTTAAGGGTATTTGGTCTAAGAAGTAGCATGCCAACTCAATGTACCATATGAAACATTTCAAGTAAAAAGCTGTAACTATAATAATTTTGGTGAATTACATAGGGAATTATGTATTAATTTCTTACTATGGGTAAAAAGGGGGGGGAGGCTAACTTAATTATCCTTCAGTTCCAGAAAGTCTAGTAAATAATTCTATAATCCATAATCTTCACTAATTAGTTCTGGAATGCTCAGAACTTTTCCAAATTAGTAAGGTTTTATACCAACTTCAATTATACAAGTTCATTATTTCTCTTAAAGTGAATTTAAGTGGAATGTGGTGGTGAATGCCACATTCGGGTTTCCCAAAGAGGAATCGAAAGAGCTATGCTTGGAGTATCATGCTTCACTCAAGTGAGAGAAAGAATCCGTAGTTGTTGACGATCGAGAAACAGGGACACTATCTCATTTGTCAAAGTGTCGAAAATCAGATGGGCTGGACATGTAATGCGATTTGGAGACAACGGCTGGACTAGAGCCGTTACTGACTGGATTCCACAGGACATCAAAAGATCACATGGCCGCCCACCTACGAGATGGTCAGACTTCTTCTTTAAGATCCTGAATGATCGGTTTGAGGCTCTTCATGTTCCTAGAGCGAGCAGACGCCATTGGGCTACACTAGCATGCAACAGGGACAAATGGAGATGTTACTGGTGCCCACTCGAGCAAATCGATGATTAACAGGATGTCAAATGATAAGTGAAGTGGCAGTGAAGTATCTAACAGAACAATGTGGCCTTTAGTCACTGTCTACACACCCGCACAGGTCCACGGGTACAGAAAGGTGGAAATCACTGGTCTCTAGCCTTGATTCTAGTTGCTGGTCCATGGTCCATGCATGAGCAGAAAGGGTGAAGAATGCACTAACAGGAGATTATGCTTTTAGAAGAGTAAGAGCTAAAGGTGATTTTCTACTATGGAAAAAACATCTTAGAAAAGGAAGTAAGGCCATTTTCCTCTTTCTTATAGGCTTAAGAAATTTTCTCTCCTGGGGTACACAGCATCTGTGCCAAGTGAGGGACTTCAGGGGAGGAAATGGAAAGGTTTTTGTAGTGAGTGCACTTTTCAGAGCAAAGGCCACTCACCAGTTTTCCCCTCTGCTGAGCCGATCTAGTTTCTCGCAAGGTGTAGACATCTCCACAGACAGAGATCTCTCTCCAGACGCCAGGCTGGGATTCCTCGGTGAAGCCCCCTCTTGGATGCATCACCAGGACACCATTGGTGGTGAGCCCGTCCATGTGGCCATCAGGGTTTTTCCATTTTGCTGCCTTTTCCTGGAAAGCAGCCCATAGAACAGAAAACGCACACTCAGATAATGTTCACAGTGAAGGTGGTGCAGAAACCCTTTCAAATACCAGGTAGGAGCTGAGGGGAGGAAAGCAGCACATTTTCATTCTGACTTAAAAACAATGACCAGAAGGATAAAAATGTGCTATTATTCCAAGAAAAGGGAAAACGGCTGAATGATTTCCCTCTAAATACACATTTGCTTCATCTCAGGCATCTGTTTTGTTTTGTTCTGAAAGAACTAGCTGCCATTGCCTCTCTCCCTCAGAGGTTAGTAAGCTCCGAGCTGATTCCAGGAACCTAACCAGTGCTCTTCAGATCTTTTGGTTAGATGCTTTTATTCTATTACTGAAACATGATTTCCCTGTTCTCATTCGTGGCCAAATGACTAAAAGGGCAGACACAGAGGGAAAAAGAACTCCTCACCAGAAACGCAAAACTTCAAAAAGTATTCCAGCCAATGACATGCAGCCATTATAGTTTTCATGCCAACTGGTGTTCCATCCATGGAGGGGGAGCCACCACAGTATCCTGTCTGAAACAGCAGCACTGATGCACTTGGGTGCGAGTACCACTGTCTTCTTGCTCCCAGGACTTAGGGTGAATGCTGGAGCTGATGAGAAGTTTGAACCATTGCAGCCCCTTGCTGATGACTGATGAGGGATGCAAATGAGACCTAAGCAAGTTTTCTTTGAACCTCTGGAAAAGGTTTCTTTGTTCTGATGCATGAAACTCTATCATGAATAGTATTGTAAATTACCGTGCCACATATCAGAACATTTAGGGGAAAAAAAGTGAGAGATAAGGAGGAAACCACTCTTGCTTCACCTTCCTGGGCTGGAAACAGCCAATCTATTAGGACCAAATAGTCATGAAAACATTTGGGTTTTATTTACGTGGAAAGCCTGTGAAGACAAAAATTTTAAATTTGCTTGGTTCTCTCTGATGTCACATTGCTAATACCCTGCAAGGAAACTGGCAAAAATGTAAGCCTTTTTGAATGAATGAGTCACCAGCATTTTCCTTTGAACCCTAATTATCAAGATCTAATGATTTATTTTTATCTAAAATAAATATCTGGAAACTTAATATAAATGCATTATGTGCAGCATGTATGAGGTCCTGTGTGGCTCAATGTCTCAGCTGATGATGTTTCACCAAGTTGGCAGTGGCTCTAGGAGGGTATATTGCTAGGAGGGTAGGAGACCAGTGATTTTCAAACCGGCAGTCTGAGGATCTGGGTTGGTCTTCAGAAACTGCCTGCTGGCCATGAAAAAGTTACTGCTGCTTAACGAACACGTGGCACACCTGAATAAAATTTTCAGTTTATAAAATTACATTTAAAAGTGAATCCTGGGGCCAGAGAGATAGTACAGTGGGTACGTTACTTGCCTTGCATGCAAAACATCCAGATTCAACCTCTAAAATGGTTCCCTGTGCTCCATCAATGAGCCCTGAGCACAGTTAGCCCTGGGAAGTCAGGTGTGGCCCAAATACTACCTCCTCACCCCTGCAAAAGTGAATACCCAAAGTACTATTAGTGTTTCTGATGTCTGCCTCAGAGGTCTACAAAATATTTCTCCTATTTTCACCTGTCCTTATTTTTAAAAGGTTGACTATAGGATGATCCTGTGCATTTTTAGGTAATCACAGCTCTACAATGTAACATGACAAAACCACCTACTGATGTGTTTCTTAGATGACCTCTGTCCAGCAAGAAGTGACATAAGACTATACATATATATATATAAAATAATTACCATACACATTAATAATGAATCATGACTTATTATTTATTTTTCAGAGTTTTAATAACAGCTTCTCAAACCACCCACCTGAAAGTTACAATCTCAAAACTTAATGAAAGGCACTATGTAAAGAGAGTCTTCTGACCAAAATTAAATTTGGAGGATCTCAAAGAGATAGTACAGGGATTAAGGTACTTGCCTCCTTGCATGCAGCCAACTTGAGTTCAATTCCTAGCACTACATACGGTCTCCTGAGCATCATCAAGAGTGATCCTTAAGCACAGAGTCAGAAACGAGCCTCAACCACAGCTGGGTGTGGTCCCAGAAACAAAAACAAAAGCAAGGTTCTATATGACAAAGGGTATTTTTCTTGAAACCAAGTACTTATTAGTAATACTTACTCCAAGGAAGATGTTTTTGGAAGAGTCAAATCCTGCTGCGAATATCCGTGCTGTATATGGTTCATTCCTGTCACAGACAATCCTGCAGGCAAATCTGGAGATGGTGCTTTGTGTAATCTGGGCTTCATCATTATTTTGACTGCCAGAAATTGTGTCTGTAACCACGAAGTCAATAGGGCTTTCTGTTGATCTGCCCACCTAAACACATCAATTATACTCATGAGTCACCTGTGAATATCATGTCACTGTAATCTGTTCACATGGAATGAATGCTCAGAGTACCTGAGAGTGTATTTCTGGAAGCCCCAGCAGCCACGTGCCCATGTCCCATTGCCTCCACCATGTACGCTCATCTACGAGCCTTGCTCACAGACCCATAAGTAAATCTCAAAAGAGATCAACTAGCTGCAGAAATTTCTTGAATACCCTTTCCAGGCTAAGACCTCCTGGGTGATCTCAGGAGGGTGACTTGCCAGCTCCCGCCCTACCAAAGCTCCAACAGCTGCACCCACACCCAAAATCTGCCGCTATGTCTCTGGCTGGCTGGATCTGTCTTCATTTTCTGGAGCATGTGGCCATGAATGCTGCACGCACCTCCAAATTCTACAACACTAATATCCTAGTAGTAGCACATCAGATTGGATGGGATGTAACACAGAAGCCAGCCAATCTCAACTACCAAAAACATTAACACAGAAAGCTTAACTTGAAACAATAGCTTAGTTAACACTAAGATAATAACTTACTGCCCCCATGGTGAGATGTAACAATTTCCACAAATTTTCTACTATGGAAATATTTTTTGATCATTTTATTATCCATTTAGTGGTAGCAAGCAACATAAATTAAGTTATTGTGGGCCTGCTATGGGGGCAGGATTCAGCAGAGTTGGAATATTGAATGCCTGTAACGAGTTATCATGAACAACTTTGTAAACCACGGTGTCTAAAGAAAGTGACAAAAAAAAAGAATGCCTGAAAGTCAGAATATAATGAAAACTTAAAAATTCTCTCTCTCTCTCTCTCTCTCTCTCTCTCTCTCTCATGGACATATTATAGTAGCCAGGCATTAAATTTTAAATAAATAAGAATTTAATAGATCTTTTAATAGACCTTTTTGTTGCTCCACCATCCCAGATGAGGCTTGCCTCTGGCTGGTATCACTGGGCCTATTCTGCAACAGGAGGCACAGGCCCTCCCTACCAGGTGAATCCCAGTAGCCTCCACACCTGACCTGTGCTATACTAAGGGCCCTCACCTCGGCTCCTGAAGTATGTGACTGCTTATGCAATTATCACTGAAGACATAAACAACACCAGTAAATCCTCAGACAGTGTCTTTAATGACACTATGATGAGGATGTTTAATGAGTTCCAATGACAGAATAGGTAGTCAGCAACACAAAAGAAAGTATGAGTATCGCAATGAAAAAAATTGATACAATCAGAAATGAAGAACGTGGTAGGTGATATGAAAAATTCAAGAGAAGCTCTGAACAGCAAAATAACAGAAGCTGAGAAAGAGACTGAGGAGCTCCAAGATGAGAAGGCAGAAACCACTAGGAAAGAGCAGAAGATAGAAAATTGCCTGAAAAAGAAATAAGCAGCTTACCAGAGAACTATGGAATGAGTTCAAGAGGACCAATATTAGAATCATTAAAGATCATCTATAAGAACTTCCCAGAATTAAGGATTACAGGAATGGAGATCCAAGAGGCCTGAAGAGTTCCGGTGAAAATATACCCAATTAGGAAAACTCTGAGACACAATTATACTCAAAATGACAAAATCCAAAGATAGAGACAGAATACTGAGTGCAGCAAGATAAAAAAAAAAGAAATTTATATACAAAGGTAATCCCATTTGATGTACAAATGGTTAGACTATCAAATGATACACTGTAAACCAGAATATGGAAGGATATGGTGCAAATATTCAATGAAATGGACACCCCACCAAGAATACTGCAGCTAGTGAGATTATCACTCAGATTTGAAGGAATTATACAGAGCTTCATAGGCAGGCAACAGCTTAGGGAATTCTTAGCCTTGAAACCAGCTTTGTGAGAAGCAAAGTGCTAAAAGAGCTTCTTCAAAGAACAGGAGAAACTTCCCATCATGTGGCATTAAGTAAGGCACTCACTAATGGTGCATACAGTTGTCCCATACTAGATTAAGAAAGGTCAGAAACATATAGCAATTAATCACACAAATTGACTTTTATTGATTTATTTTCTGGTAATTCTTTTTACCCTTCCTTTAAGTTTTATTGGACCAAGTGATATAAAATAAATTTGCTACCTGCCTGCCAAGGGAGTAGGCTGGAGGCCTGGGGGAAGGAACCACGGGAGAGTGGTGGAGGGAAGGAGACACTGGTGATGGGATTGGTGTTGAAATGTTGTACACCTGAAACAACTCTATTATGAACAATTTTGTAAATCATGGTGTCTCAACAAACATTCCTGAGAAAAATAAATGAAAGAGAGAGAATCTCAACAAATCCTTGAACAAGAACCACTTTCACCAGTGTAGGTGGAGAAAGGCTATCTCAGGGGAGAAATCATAAACAAAATCTCAGCTAGAAATAAGCAGAGTGCATAAGTATGTGTGTAAAGTGAAACAACAGATGAAATGGGGGAAGCAGATTATGGGAGGTCTCCCAAAGCCAGAGATCAAATGTGACTTAAAGAAGCCTTTATCACCAACCCAGCCGAAGAGCAGCCCCCCGACTCCAAGTAGGACTCCAAGTATCTTTCTAGCATACTTTGTTTTAATAGCACTCAAAACAAATTCTAATTATTATATATTTATCTGAAGATGTATTTAATATTGTCATTTCTATCATCTCCCCTACTCCTGGATACTGAAGATTCAGCCCTAGGTCTGGCACACAATAGGCACTGGACAGTATCTGGATAAATGAATACTCACTCCTAGTTCTATGCAGCTGCCCTACTTCTCTTCATTACCAGTCACTTCATTTGCTTTAGGAAAAAAGAATTTTATTATTATAGTGCCTCATTCTATATGAAAGTGGGCCTATTCTATATGAAAGTGGGCCTGGCTCCTCCTGGAGATCGAGAAGGCAAATGTGGCCATATGGACCTACAAGGTATGCTTCCATAATGGCAAATTCATTGTTGAAGTGGCAATGAGACCAGAAATGTGAGCAAATATTAAATAAAATCACTTTTTAGGATGAACTTTCATTCTGATAGAAAACATTAAATCTTGCATAAAACAAGGTTCTATTTCTTGGAGCAAAAGAAACATTATAGGCCAGAAAGATAGTCCAAAAGTACCTGTCTCCATACTGCAGATACTAGTTCGAATCCCCAGCATCACATATGGTCCCCTGAGTACTGTCAGGTGTCACTCCTGAACAGAGATCCAGAAATACCTCCTGAGTACCACTAGGTATGACTTCTCTAATTCCCTAACCCCTACAACATGCCCCCCTCCGCCTAAAAAAAAAACAACTAAACTTTTGTAGCAAACTTTTACTTAGTATTCAACAATCAATAAAGAAGAAGAGGGCTGGAGAGACAGTACAATGGGTAGGGCACTTGCCCTGCAGTTGGCCGACCTGGGTTTGATCAAGTCCCCTGTTTGGTTCTCTAGTCCCTCCAGGGGTAATTCCTGAACACAGAATGAGGAGTAGGCATTGAGCATAGCTGGGTATGGCCCAAACATTTATTATAAAAAAAAACTACAGGAAGAAAAGGAACAATTCTTGGGACCTTTCTTAACTTGCTCCAGGAAGTGTTTTTTCTCACAAATTAAATTCACTGGTGGCTCAGCTCATTGTGAGAACAACGCTAATCCAGACACAGAGATATAATGCCTATAATCATTACATGAGTGTATAAGAGCATATAGGGTCATATGTACAGGTCCACAGTTTCATAAGCAGTCAAATAGAAGATTAAACAAAAATTCTTAGCATTTCAATTTTGAATTTTTAAGAATATGCTTTGAGCTAGGATTTAGGATTGTATTATTATATTATATATTATAGGCAATTCATTCCTTGGGAAGTTTAAATACTGTCAGTGAAAATTAGAAAGACCTTAAGAATTCCATCAAAACTTTTCATATTCAATAAATCCAGAAAAGACAGTACTGTTTTGTCCTGTGAACTGGAAAGAATTAAGTATAAGTCTGTGAATAAGGAAATCCTGAGATGGAATATTAAAAGTTTTATGTAATGATAGTTCTAGAAAATAGCAAAAGATGTTATACATGATATAGATATTTCTTACATTAAAATTATTTATATACATATTAATATTTTTGTTAAATAAGATATTAAATGTCTGATTTTTTACCCTGCTAATGAGAGAACATGGAGCCTCCTGATATATCTCCCTCAAAGTCAGTTATCTTTATCTTGATCTCAAAATTCTAAGATATCATTGTTGTAATACACTTTTTATTCAAATGAATAAAAGTGAAAAATATCTGTGTCCTATCCCATTTTGCGTATTTTGCTTTCTGGAACAGCATTATTACATCTCTCTATATGATAGTTTCATGCACAGACTGTCTCTGTAAAAGCAATAGACAACAGACCTCTATTTTCTCATTCTTTTTCCAACCTTTAATTTCTTGTCCTTAATGAAATGTGTCTAGAATAAACTAAACCACTAGATTCACTGAAACTCATCAACTTGAGTAGAAGCGTATTGCCTGAATGTATGCATTTCAGGTTCAGAAAACATAGAACTTGTTAAAAAATGCAACATAAAATCTAAATTAGAGATTTTATAAAATCATATCATGCAATTTATCTCTCCAAAGTTGCAGATCCTTCTACTAGATTCATTTACAAGCTGGGTGTGTAATTCAGAAGCACTAGTGATTCAGAGTGCTCTAATTTATTTTTAAAGCTTCTTTTTTTTTTTAAAAAAAAGATGTACTGCTTAGCGACTTTCAAGCATATAATACAGCACTACTTACTAAGTATAATCATCACACTGTCCCAGATTCCCAGAAATTGATCAATTCAAAGCCTGAAATCTGTATCCTTTGACCAATGTCTGTGAAAACCTCTTTTGTTTGTTTGTTGCTTGTTCTGGGGCCACTCCTGGCAGTGTTCAGAAATTACTCCTGACTCGGTGCCTAGGGATCACTCCTGGCAGGCCTTGGGTGGCTATATGTGGTGCTGGTGATCAAATTCAGGTTGGACACATACAAGGCAA